TTTCTTAGGCTTTACTACGCACCGTAGCGCGTAGTAGGTACTTCCAAAGCTACGCGCAAGGATAGGCCGTAGCGTATCCTTGCGCGTAGCTCGTCGTAGAACTATTTGTCCCTATAACTTTCGTAGCCCGTAGCAAGTTGTATAGTATGACTACAATTTTTGATTTGTTTTAATTTTTGTTAGTGATTTTTTTTTATTTACGGCCATGTTCGTCCCACTGCAGGGCAAAGGACTCCCCACCCTCCTTCCACTCCTCTGTATGTAAAGCTTTTGCCGATACACTCACGCGGTAATTAAAATAACAGTTTACAGAAATTTTGTTCGATTTGGAGCAATATGTTAAGCTGTTTATAAAGAGAACATAAACAGAATGTCCCGTACCACACGCACTTCAGTATTGTTAGTGCAATTAATTTTATTCAACACGGTTACTTCCTTCTTTGAAACATGTTTCGATTTCAACTTTTAATATATTTTACGCCGTGTGGTGACTAGTGCCGTCTTTATCATAAAGGTACTCGGGGCCCGTGCCCCGGGCCCTCATCCGGCGGAGGCCCAGGAAGACCGACAATTTCTATGACAGAGACACCCGCTACTCGTTGCTCGGCAACCGGCAGCCCCGCAACGTGTTGCGGTTTCGATTACCGCACGGAGGTAATCTTTATGTGATCCACTAATTGTTGTTCCAGATCTGGGTGTCATGTGTATGTGAACTTATTATAACTAACATTTGTATGTTTGTAAATGTACCCACGATACATGAGAAAGTCCTAGTGTGGGGCAACGTTAAAAAAATACATTCTAAAAGGCCCCGATATTCTGTTCCCAAGGGCTATAGCGTAGTCCAAGACGGCCCTGGTGGTCACAGCAAAGTAGAGTAGGTATGTAGGTACATTGATCACCACTCGCTTCTCGTGCTTGTTGCTAAAGTCGACTAAGGGACTACACATTTAACAAAGACCGGGCAGAAAGAAGTGTTCTATGAAATATCAATCTCTTTAAACTTCTGCCAGTAAAGGAGCAGATGGTGGTAAGCAATCAGCGTCGCCCATGGACACCTGGAACACCAGAGGCATTACAAGTGCATTACCAGCCTATTCAGAATTATTAATTTGAGGAATGTCGGGGATTCAGGAATTGGAGATATCGGAAGGGGGGGGGGGTGTAGTTGGACCTCCGACAACCTCACTCACAAGACACGAAACACAACGCAAACGTTGTTTCACGTCGGTTTTCTGTAAGGCCGTGATATCACTCCGGTCTAGCCGGTCCATTTGTGCCGGGGAATGCCTAAACCTAAAGTCAAAATCCTTTATTTCAATTAGACGAGGAAGGCACTTTTGAACGTCAACAAAAAAAAATCTATTTTAATCTATGTTCGAATGTTATAACGACTTTTAATTCTTTTTTCAAACTACGCAATGTTTAATTAATAGAGGATGTTTTTATATTGCTGACGTTACTAAAATCATGTCTTACGCAAATCTCGTAAGCATTAGATTTGTTCCTTTTGCAGATTGATCCGAGATAGTAAAGCTAATAAATTGGAGTTAGTGATCGAGGGGTGAGACAATTAGAATGTTTACTTTAAGATTATGTTTAATGTTTATGTATCCTAGTATCCTACTTACTGTGTTGGAATTTTAGACATGCCATTCTGCATGAAAATTCAATTCCGATTTAACAAGCTCTTTTCAAATCGTTGGTACGCTTTATTTTAAGGTCTGTCACTTCTACCTAATTATTGAATTATTATTGTTTGGTATCGATTAGTCATGAAACAATAATTATTAATTTATCAATTAAAATCAAGTTAAGTTATTCCATCGAAATAGCTTTTTACAAATGATATCTATCGTTGTCACATTGTGAATTAAACAACAAATTAAAATAAAAGACACACTAAATAAAGATAACAAACCTCAATTACCAACACCAAAAATTGACACTGGCCACTGAAAATTAATACTGTTCGTATAAACTGTCACTTCACATCATAAAAATGGCGCCTCGAATATGGCGGGAAAGTTTAGGGTTAGCGCGCGCGACCGTTTACCCTGGCACAACACACTGTTATGCCGGGACTGAGGACTGACACAATAAAATTAAGCATTTACACTGTGAACCGGCCCACGAGACGTTTTCGTAATAACCATAGTAGATTGCAATGTGCGCCCATTTATTGGGAGTTAATTTGGCAACAGTGGCATGCCAAATGATTTTAATGGTGCGCGCCACTTTGCTGCCCAGTCGCCTGTGTCTTCAACACAAAGAAGTACCCACTGAGCTCTGGAGAACGGACCCGACGACGAAATATGATTTTCTTTGATGTTAAAATTGATAGTTAAGGTCGTAACCTATTAAAATTACGCTCATTTTGTGTCACTTTAATTATTTCGCAAGCGTTGTCCATTTAACTAATGTGTCGGTTTTAAGAGTTGATTTATCTTATAGATTACCTACATATTTTAGCTATTTTATAATATTAGAGGTGTTTTAAATGATGGCAGGCAATCGAAGTAACATTAAAAAGCATTGGCATCCGTTAATCCGTTACAGTTTAGATGTTACAGATTAGTAGTTCTGATATAACACCTACTATGTAAGTACCTATGTTTTACACTTAATAGACTTAAATCTCGAAGTCATGAAGGGAGGCCAACGTTCAGCACTAGTAACATCTCGTAGCCGATATGATGATAATGATAATTATCTCAGTACGTGTTATGGCAAAAGCTAGTAGAGGTGTGCGACAACCATCAACACTCACCTTCTTAAAAGTCAGGTGTTCCTATATCTAGCGTTTTTTGCTTTCTTATGAGAAAAATGTGATGAGATGATGTAGTAGTGTAGATATACCTACGTTATGAAGGTATATCTTATACATATCTCTGTCTATGTTTTTAGATATACCTACATTATGTAGACAGGTATAGGTGCCTGTCGCGGAGAACCTAACGTGTTACCGGGGCTTCTGCTCGAAGCGCATGTGAAGGAACGGGGTGGTTTTTAGTCAGTAAGAATACTCTGACACTCCCTCCCGCCTCACACAGGCGGGAGAAAACATCTGATGATTTTCCACCCTTAAAAAAATACACCTACCTAATGTAGGTATATCTGTCTATGTTAATGATTAGGAAGTTACAAACGTAGTTTTAAACCAGGCATCATTTACTGTCTTCAATTGTGATTGTAGGAAAGCACTCAGTACCAAGTACCAACTCATCCTATTGCAAACAAGTGCACATGGTAGCCACGAATTCTTAGAAAGTTTCGTTTAATAGCTGACTAAAGTTAAATTTAGTAATGCGCAGATTCCCACTCATTGTTTACTCTCATTTTAACTTTCAACAATACTTAGGATTTACAAAAATAATTCTCAGATGAATTTCTGAATCATTAGAGTAGGCGTTGATGCAATTTCCGGACAAAATGGGAAGCTTTAGTTAAAATTAGTCATCTGAATCATCATAAACTTTTATGAATTTTAATGAAATTGTTTGGTTAATCAGTTTTTCTAAATCTATACCTAAGTAGGTATTATAGTAAATTATACACTTTTGGTCGCCACATTAGCTATTACTACACTACTAAAGCAAAAGTTTCTTCCTTCCATGGAAAACTCCATTCCATACAAAACATGATACCTAATTTAGGTAGGTAAGTACTTAATAAATAGATAGCCGGTAGGTATCACCTAAAGCTATAATCCAGATCACCTAAGTATTACCTATATTGAATTAATATAAGGTTTATTAGTATCGTAGCTCTGTCCGTTGTTCCATTATAAAATGATAGCATTGAGGGCGTCGTCGGGCGCGATTAGCGTCGCACATTCCAGCATTATACCTATTTATTACCGTCTAATGTGGCCGCTCTCATAATAGACCTGTCTCTACGAGGGTACAGGAAGAATTATAAACAAAGAAGGGTCATTAAAACAGCTATTTTGGAGCGTCTACGCGCCTGGTGCGCGACCAACTAGCGAAAGACAATCGGCGCTGTTGTGTGCTCGTTTAATTCAAGAGCTTTCAGCGATACACACTAACTCTTTACATATTATGTGAATGTGCCTATAATGTAATATACTATAATATATAATGTATATACCTATAATTATTTTAAGGGGGGAATATCATCGAATGACTGCTCCCGCCTGGGTGAGGCGGAAGGGAGTGTCAGACTCTTACCTACTGACTAAAAACCACCCCGTTCCTTCTCCTGTGCTTCGAGCCGGAGCCCCGGTAACCCCTTAGGTTCTCCGCGACAATTTACCTATAATAAGAATCTAATATTTTTAAGTAATACTTAGCTTATATATAGTCATTACCAGTTACCTAGTCGATACCTACTATCCTAATTGTTTATAACATGAACTGTGTGGACATGAATCTAACATCCGACGCGTTGCGTGGTCTGATCAGCCAGCCACTGCGCCAACAGTATCAACTACTTATCAATATCACTTTATAATTGTATGATAATTAATACTCATGACTTTTGTAACTCGCACCGCACAATATCTGGCACCACAATGAGATCGATGCATGCGATGTATTTATATTAGCGAATACTTAGCGTTATGCAAGTGCTGTGCTACGGGCACTGGGTCGACAACCTAATAATTGTTGACTACACTGTATCTCCATCTGTCTGTCTGTCACTGGGCCGCTGCAGAGATCTATATTCTAAAATAACATTACCATTATCTTGAGGTTTCATCAGCTGCTGCAATATATTGGAAGTAATATCTTTTTGAAAAACCGAAAAATCATAAAGTAGGTAGTTGAATTTTGTATCTGACAAGAAACTGGGAATGAAACCCGCAGGCCCTTCCTGGTTGCTACTATATGATTATGAAGCAGTGAAATAGACATCTAGATTTCTTTACACATTAAATATTTGATATCTACTCACTGTAGACTTGCAAATTACAATATATGAATACTTTTGATTTGTTAAAAGAAAGTAAACATGTAAGAAACTATAAAAATCTTTTATTTTAAAATCACAATACTTAAATATTACTAGACTACTTATAAATCGTATTCATTGTACCATTTATTTTATTGTATAGTGGGTATTATTTAGCACTCATTTTAATGAAGCATTACAAGCAAATAGTATTTCTATAATATTCTATAATTTTATATGTATGTTATGTAAAATACATGAGTAATAAGTACATGTTTCATTTTGGATAGTATCTAATAGCCTTGCAACACTGGAATAAATATTACATACCTACTTACATCCAAACTTAAACATTTTCAGACTACTTATTGCCAAGATATTACAGCAACAAAATATTTAGAATCAGCATCATTGTCAGTATTCTTAAATAAATATTTGATTGAGCTTCTTACTATATAGATAGTTACTATTATAGAATAGCGACGGATTTACAAGGCAAACCGGAGTTATACTCCTGCAATATCTAAGTAGCCATGTAAATTATAGCTTTTTTTTATATTATTTTTAAATGTTAACATTGAATCTTATATATCTCAATATGCTAAGTTTCCAAGTGTTCAAGTAACAAGTGTATTAATTTAAAAATGTGATACAAAGTACAATAATTAAATGAGCAACTGATTATTAAAAATCTACTAATATAGTAGGATTTTTTTACACTAGCAACAATTGAATCATCTATTATTTATAATTCTTCTATTAGCTATTCTCAAAATGATGAGTAAGGCACGGTACAGATGAGCTACAGCACTGCGTTTATTGTATATGTTATAGTTTTTGTAATATTTTTTGAGTAATGGGTAACGGTCTTTCCATTCTATTCCGTCACTGTCACAAGTGTCCTTTTGTCACAAATCATAGTTGAAGTAGTTGTGTCTCCTCTCCAAGTCTCTGATCTCCACTATGTCAGCCTTCAACCTCAACTTCAGTATCTCTCTCCATATTGCTTCACGGTGTTCCTTGTTCATGATGCCCATGCGCAGCAGTGTGTTGTCATTAATTCTGACTAGAGCTCTGCCTGTTATATCATGCTGAAATTGTAAATCACATTTTAATAAGTAGAACAACATTTAATTTTGTAAAACTGCATGACTTCAACTTGGCTTGTGGTCTGTGGACCACAAGCTGATTGTACAAAATTGTATTATAATACAGTTTTACAATGCAATACTTAAAACTTGGCTTTATTTACTTGATTATAATAAGTTAAATATTGAAGATATGCACATTAGTAGGTACCCTTGCTGCATCTTAACACTTATCAGCAAAACTAGATAATTACCTCATGGAATTTCTCCCAGTAAAGATTGTAATAATCACTGCAGTGCCGTCTTAACCATTTCTGAACATCGGCCTCCGTCCACAAGTACACCGCTTTAGGGCGTGTTGTTTTAGTCTGTAAAAAAATAATTATTAAGCATTACTTTAATGTTTATTATCCATTCACTAACCATTTATATTAAGGGCACTAAAGCATTTCTGTTTATTATCATAACAATGGTTATCGAAAAGCCTAGAAAATGAAGTCATCAAGGGTGTTTTATTGCTTGTTTACCTTTGATTTGTTGGAATTCAAACTGGAATCTTCAACCATTGTCGTAATTTTTAACTATTTTTCGAGTAGATCCAATGTGAAATTTACATTTATTCAATACAGAAGACTAAGAGATAGCAACTTTGACTAGTTTTATTAGTTTAAAAAGCCTGTTTTTTTAGTATTCTGAGATTTGTAAGAATAAACGAGGGTAAATCAAACCAAGCAACTCAATAATCATACTATGACATTGACGTTTTATTGAATGTTCCTTTGACGTTGACATTAACATTGTATTTTGGATTTGGTAATTTGGATACACTTTCAACAAGTAAACAACACTGATAAATATTCCAACAACACTGAAAAATATTCAAAGAAGTATTTATTATTTATTATATTTTGCAGTGCAAGTACGAAACACAAGAAAACATATGAAAGAAAGTAATTGTATCTTACTACTACTATTATTAATAATTCTATCTTACTAATAGTAGTTTTTGTGATTTCTAAAACTTGTAACATTTAAATAAAGGCTGTCAACTGTCATGAAATTATGGTAGAATTTGTTCTCTTGTCATACAGAAAAAATAAAACGATTCAGTGATAAATTCCAACCCAAGAATCAGAAAATGTCAATGTAAAATTATCACAATGGCACAAAATTTACAGAAAAAGCCCTCTAAGGGCATATTGAAGACCTCACGAAGTGTTGATGGACAGGATACGGCGAATTCTGGAGCGCCATCAACTAGCAAGCGAACGAAAGAGCAAAGATTCGACGAGATGAATATTATGGAAACATTTCATCCGGCGAACAAGGATTATGGTCATATGAAAGTGGACGAGCCTAAGACTCCTTATTCAGAAGCCGTGGACGGTGACTTGGTGCCGACTGACGAATTAGACGCTAATATATTGGCCGCCAAACTAGCGGCGAGTATGAATAAACCGCCAAAGTGTGTGGAAGCCGAAGCGTCTGCCAGTGACGAGGACATGGAGGAACCTGAAGAAGAACGCCGAAAGAGAATTGAGTTTGAAAAGAAGCGGAAAATGCACTACAATGAGTTCCAAGTGAGTAGTTACTATAGAGCATATTGTGGGTGTGAACTAACGATTAGGTCATCCTTTACAGTATTACAATAATATTGGAATTTGTATGCATTTGCTGGAACAGGTTAGTCAGTTGATATACACTGCAACATCACCAGATATAACCTCACCTATATTTGTCTTATACATTATTCACAAGCTATTATCAAACTTCATTGACACATTGTAGAATTAGATATGGTATAAGAAAACTATTGTCATGGGTAATTATTATATTGCTTTCCTTATACAGAAGTATGCTATTGTGAATACTAATTAGTATGCCAATCGTGAACTATGCAAATGGCAATGTGCAAAGTAATTTCTGCTTAATTACTGAGCATTATAGTACATACTGTTTTGATAACAGGTACTGCACACAATCTATTATCTTCAGTAAGCAAAAGTTACTGAAATAGATCTTCAAAAATAAACAGTAAATGTTATTATTATCATTTTATAAACAAAGTAAAAATGAACTAGTCTCCTAAATATAAATCCTGGCAATTTCAAAATATTAGTCTTCAAGTCCTTTCTGACAGAAATATTAGTCTTCAATCAAGCTGAACAACTGGTCTTCATCTATCGGACTCTATCGTCATATTTCTTCTTTCCATTTCTTTATCCGCCTAACCTCATCAAGTGTCCAGAATTTAATGACATTTGTCCCCTACAAATCCTTATTTTCTTGTATTTTTTATTTATTTATTATTATAGGTATACCAGCAGCTTCTGTATACATAGTATTAAGAAATAACATAGGTAACAATAGAAATTGGGCTTATAAAGTCGTTCATACAATAATTACCAACAAATTTTTAACTTATTTCGGTAGCATTGTGAAACATGGTTTAGGCATGTGTAGATAGTAGATATTTCATAAAAAGAAATGAAGAAATAAAATACTTTTTATTTTTCACTGTATCCTGCACTTGTCTGGTTGATTCTCCTTCATAGTAGTAGATTTCTTGGGGCTGCCATGATAAACCTTATATCTTATACTATTGTATAAAACTGAAAAATTTGTTTGTGTGAACACACTAATCTCAGGAAGACCTTCTGCGATTTGAAAAAAACCTACAATAGCATCACGCTACAATCTATAGATGGCGAACAGACCGAATTAAACCTCATGGAAGTAGCTACAATAATATATTGCAATAATATTCAACAAAATAGCATTAATTGACTAGACTGTTATTACTATTATTACATCAAACACTAGATAGCGAGATAGCAACACTAGCTATCTGATTGGATATGCATAAACCATACCATGATAAGTTAGCATGCTAATGCAGCATTATCATTATTCAAAGTAAACTTATCTAAATTATGTCATTGATTTGTATCATCAGTATTCCATGTAATTACCTATTTATGTTCAATTTAAAGTTAATTTTTACTATCTTGATAGCTGTTGTTGTTGAGATTGCTTGTCGGTTATTTAATTTTATTAGTAATTTTCATCATAAAATCGTTTTACTACACTTTAAAGCTGTTTTTTTTAACATACAGTACAAACAGTATTGCAAAACATTAAAGTTGAAAAAAACTCGAAAATGTATTAAATAGTTTTGATAGAAAGCCTGCTGGCGTTTGGTGCTGCCCAGTCTCCAAGTGGTCACCGGTGACCGCTCTCCGCTTCCTCCATATAGACCTTATTTCCGATATTTAGAGACTACTTTTGTATGAACAAATGTGGTGGATTTTTCATAATTGGGGATTACGAAGGTCTAGAAATATGTTCTATTATAAACTATCGCACATTCTTACATGATCAGTTGGTCACATGATACTATAAGTACTGTACTCATGTCTAAATTGCCTGATAAGCTGCACACATCTCGTTAAGATCCTATTACTCTAGACTCTAGAGGTTAATTTATGTGAGTGATCTCTTGACCGACACATATTTATGTATGTGTGTGTAAGTATACACACTACTTGTTATGTGATAGTCAACTGCATTATAAATAGCAGTTATGGAGCGTAATAGGTTTCTCGAAAATTCCTACTCCTATGTGATTGTTTGATTTTAAAGAATGCTGGGAGAATAATGTTCACATGTACATTAATTGGAAAGGGTTCTATTCTAAGACCTTATTAATACAGGATTATTTTGAAATTAAACTCTCATTTCAGGCACTACAACTAGCGCGGCAACTGATGGCACAAGAAGAAGACGAAGATGAGGATCAACCTCAACAGCAGAAAACCTGACTGCAGCACATGCAAGCACTTGTACATAACATGCACCAAGGCTTCGAGCGAGCATCGACCACTGCGTACACCAAGGAGTACCAACTCGAGTTAAACAAGGGATACATTAACACCACCCACACATCATCACACACCATTTAGTATATATCATCATCGTAATCTGGATATTTCAAGTGATCAGTGATGAAGTGAGTGGTGCCTCATCCCGTTAATGTACCCCTGTCTTTATTTACGTCTCTACAATTATTAGAAATCTTTATTCAGGGTTAATAATGGTTTTGGTGAAATATCATGTAGTGTCTTACAATATTTTGCCTTTACAAAAGAGGTCGAATTTGAACGATCTTTGTGTTTATTTACACGAATCTGTTGTGATGAGCTCAAATGCTTGGTTTTTACCACATAATTAATTGTTGAAAGCACAGTCAAATCATTTTAAATGACTTATGCCAGTTCAGAGAAGCAACATTCAGAACCAGAGAAACTCCCATTATTTATTACTATATTGCAATTATTTAAGTAGAATTAAAATAAAAATGTAATCTGTAGGATTTTATAAACTTTTTGGAGTTCCATAAAACCTTTTACAGCAAGTAAACTATGTTCTTTAACAGATAAATTGTTTCTAAATGTCGCCAAAATTACAACTTGCTATAAACTAGATACCGCAATAAATATCTATTCCGAAATTACCAACACAGGGGTATTAAACAAAATTGCTTGTTACGTAATAGATGGAGCACTATAAATGAACAATTCACAAAAACCTATTAGGTCATGCAAGCTGTTATGTTAACAGCTCTTGTGTCGTGTTATGTTATAATAAAACTCGGTTGCATACTTTCATAAGAGTTAGTAAATATGATACGTAATAAGTTAAATGATAGTTGTAAACTAAAATGTAACACAATGTGTTCTTAAAATACGCCCTGGGCATCGCATGTTCCTTTCGGAGTTTCAAATGAATTTTAGATGTGCTAACACAAATCAAGGTTGTTACCAAAGCGAATTATTAACCATGTACTAAAAATGTTTCATAGGCCCTGTCTACTGAGCCATTATTATTTCTCATCACGATTCTACGTAGTCTGGCTTTTTCGTGACAATACTAGCAATAAAAATGCCATATTTACAACAGCCCGTAGAACGTAGATCAATACTGTTATATTGTATGTATAGACACAGTGAAAGATATGTGATATCATTGATTACTTTCTGATTAGGCTATAGTTCATTCTACAATAAATATTATAGTATTATAATGTATGACTATCCTTTGAAAACTTATTCTTAGTTGTTTTATATGACTAGTAAAACACAATGAGCTTGAAGCCAGACTTTTTCATGTGTTAATTAACTGCAATGTATTTTGACTAATATTTTATTCTGTAGGTAAGAACAGTGTCTTTGATTTTGGTAAATGTTAAGAAAGCCAAGTCCTCGCATGCTCCCACAGTTTGTTCAACATTTTAGCTATCTAACTTCCAATTCACATGCTCTAGCAACTAGATTTGAGAATAAAATTGAAACTATTGAAAACTTCTTTAAAACAAAAGTATTTTACTTAGAATATGAACTGTAATTCTAAAACTAATCTAATTAAACATACTGTTCATTTAAATGCGCCTGCTTTTGCAATGTTTGTTTTCAAGTCTACCTGTAAGACATGACCACTTATAATCAGTTAATAGTACCTAATAATGTCTTCTTTTACAAATAAATAAGTATATAAAGTCATTTTACAGAGTATATGAGATAAAAGAATATATATTTGTATTGAAAGTATATCTTTACATTGTATTGTTGAAGGTAATGTCGTCTTGTACTCGATAGCTGACTTACTTACATTACATTTTGATGTAATTTTTGTAAACTATGTACTTATTATTATGGAGCTGTATGTGCCAAGAAATTATATTTTGCGCATGAAAT